TGCCTGAACCCAGGAGGCGGAGGTTGCGGTGAGCCGAGATCGCGCCATTGCACTCCAGCCTGGGTAACAAGAGCGAAACTCTGTCTCAAAAAAAAAAAAAAAGAAACTTTTCAGATTGAGACTTGACATTTAATAACTTTCTGTAACAATGGAGCGTTTGAACTTGGGTCCAATTTTTGAAATCTTTCCCTGGGTTTGAGGTAGCAGGTATGGAACCCTGCAGGAACAGGAGGTCCACGGCTTCAGGTGGGCGGGAGTGCTGACTGAGGCGGCCAGGTGTGAGGCAGCGCACGGTGAAAGCAGTGAGAAAAGAAATGAACTCACACCATGGGCCTGCAGATGTGGAAATGAGGTGTCACTGAGGCCAGGCGCCTGTGCCCTGGGGTTCCTGGCCGGGCTCCCAGAAGGAAGGGTGTGGTTTCTTTTTCCTCTTGGATGGCTGGCTCCCGACCCTGGATACCTCAGAGTCAATTCCGGACATTCGGGGTTGAGTCATCAGAGGAAAATAGAGACGTCTGAATTTTTCACATCACTGTGTTTTAAACATGATTAGTAAGTATATTTCTGTTACTAAGACAGTAAATGCATTTTACTAATAATACATTGTAGTGACTAAAAAGGGGAAATGTTATTCAAAAACATAAATATTGAATTAATAAGCTCTCGCATTAGAAGGAAATAGGATGAAGTTAGCAAAGTCAGCGGTGAACTGACGTGTTCGAGAACGTCTGGGTGCGGTTTATTCTGACTTACTCTTCGGGGCCGGCAGGGCCGGCGATATGTCTGTGACCAGGCTGGACGGGCTCCCGGGTGCCCACCCCGCCCTCTCCTGCAGCCACTCCTCCAGGGCAGGCCTCCTGTCCTGGCAGCCTGGCTGTCGGCATGTCACACAAAATCATGTGTGCTGGGTTCTGCGGAGAGCAAAGCCAGGTGTGAGCACTAGGCAGGCTGGCTCTCGCAGACCCTATGATGGAGCCCCTGCAGCCTGGGCATGCTCTGATCACAGAGGTGGCAGCTCTGGCAGACCCTGTGATGGAGCCCCTGCAGCCTGGGCATGCTCTGATCACAGAGGTGGCAGCTCTGGCAGACCCTGTGATGGAGCCCCTGCAGCCTGGGCATGCTCTGATCACAGAGGTGGCAGCTTCTGGCAGTCCCCTGACCTGCCATTCCTGTCCCGTGACTTCAGGGAGGGGCAGCTCCTCGGAGCTCCCCGCCAGGTGACACCTGGGACTCTGCCTTTCCTTCCTGGGCTGCTGTGGGTGTTGGGCGGGGGTCTGGAGACCCTGAGGGCTGCCTTAACACTCCTGCCTGTGTTCCCGTTGTGACATGGGTGCCTCCTGTCTTTACTGCCGAAGCCACAGCAGGGGTGTGGGGCACCTGTGCATCTGACTGGTACCTGTGTGACCCCAACCCGCCTGGGCCACCGTGGGATAGAGCACGAAGCAGAGCCCCAGACGCACTTTGTGGCCGAGCCACCAACCTGACAAGCGGGAAGCCTTTGCAGTTCAGCTTTGTGAGGGCAGAAAGACGGGCCCCCCCACTTCTGTCTGCGTGAGCACACACGCTCAGAAGAAGAAGGCTTCTGACCCGGTCAGACACCTCACACGCACTTAAGAGAGGAAGCTTTTGGCACGCTATCAAATGCTTTGATACACACACACATCTCCGTCCCGGTATGAAGGAAAGGCAGCTGACCGCGGCAGACCCCACCCAGGCTGGTCTGCACCGGAGGCCCGATCGTTTCCCCTTCTGGCCACGTGGCTTCCAGTGTCCACAGTTCTCCACTGAGGACGTCACCTCCAGCCGCTGGTCTTGCCAGGCACCCAGTGCGAGGGTGAAGCTGGCTGCCCAGCCTCTCGGCCTTGCCCTTATCATGGGTACTATGCCCTTTAACAGACATCCCTGCATCAGCCCTTGGGTCTGTCCCCTGTGGGGCCCTGCCTGGCAGCCCCAGGTACTACTGGTTCATCCACTTCCCACTGCCCTGCCACCACCCTGTGCCAGGCACGCGGGCTTGGAATAAATCAGAAAACAAAACAGACGGAACCCTGGCCTTGTGGAGCTCACAGAATTCTGTCGGGAGAGAATCACATTCACCGGGTGCTGTGTTGTGACTGTGTCCTCTCCAGAATTCACACGACATTGTCATTGTCATTGACATTGCAGAGGTATTCAGAGGCAGGCCCTACTCTTACAGATGGCTTCATGCCTCATAAAAGTGCAGCAGGGAACTAGCTGAGGCCTCGATCTTCAATCCCCTCCACAAGCATGCAGTGTTCCCAGCAGATACTAATCTGCCCACACCTCCACCTCCCAGGTTCAAGCAATTCTCCTGCGTTAGCCTCCCAAGTAGCTGGGACTACAGGCATGCACCAGCACTCCCAGCTAATTTTTTTTTTTTTGGTAGAGACAGGGGTTTCAGCATGTTGGCCACGCTGGTCTCAAACTACTGACCTCAAATGATCCACCTGCCTCGGCCTCCCAAAGTGCTCGGATTACAGGAACGAGCCACCATGTCTGGCCTGAATGTCTGTTCTTTATAAATCACCCAGCCTCGAGTGTTTTGTTAGAGCAGCCCCACTGCCTGAAACACGAGTTTCTGTGCTCAATGCCACGTTGAAGAGCCCAGCTCTGGCACTGAGGCTGTGCCCAGAGGCCGGCGTGGCCACTCACCAGCAGCATCACCGTGGCACATCACCACCTCTCTGAGCCCGGAGGCTCCTCTGTGTGAGGTGGATTCAACAGTGCCTATTTCAAGTTGTCAGTGCAAAGAAAATGGGAAATATGTCCCTTAAGCACAATACCTGGCAAAAAAACTCACACCGAACAGCTGCCGTGACAACTCCAGCATCACCCAAGGAGCCTGGACACCGAGACAAGCAGCAGCTTATGCGGCCCGGCCCCCGCATCATGGCGAGGAGGCTGCACCAGCCCTTGGCTCTTCAGTCACCCATTGAGAAACAAAACATGGGTATGCAGAAGTATTTCAGCACCCAAAGAAAAAGCGCAGGAGGCGTGATGACAGCAGGGCCATGCTGGAGAGCCACATCCCGGCTAAAGGCAGGGCCGTTTCCATCTGGGTCACCTGCCATCAGGTAGAGCCAAGGCTGCTATTACCCAGCCTTCCTAGTTTTCAAGCAACTCTAGAACTGACTGTTATGTGAACTCGCCCCGTTTAACACTCGCTGTAACTTGAGAGGCACACAGCACACACGTGCAGATGGAAGCTGGCCAGTGTGGGCTGCTGAGTGGGCCAGGCGCAGGCTCACACCAACCTGGCACCAAGAAGCCAGAGCTCATGAGTGTCACTGGCACCACGCTCCACTATGGATAACCCCACTCCCACTGCTGGTCGGGGAAACTGAGGCCAGTGAAGGCCATGGGAAAGTGTTGGGCAATCTGGAAGGGGTCCAGATGGTACAGTTCATGAAGCCTTTTCCACCCCAAAACCTCCAACTCCAGGCTCTGCACTGAGGGATCCGTGGCACAATGTGTGTGTGACACTGGACACAGTGGGCAAGCCTGTGCTTCTCTAAGGCGCCTCCATCTCTATGCATCTGAATGACGCGTGTATGATACCGCCCCTGTGGGGCCCTGCCTGGCAGCCCACAGGAGGTAACGCGTGGACCTCCGCAAGGCCAACGTCCTAGTGACGGTGAGACACAATGAGGCTACACACTTCAAACTCAAACTGAAACCTGAACACATGAAGGTTGATCATTATGTTCTGTATCTCCAGGATAAAACGTTCACAGCAATGTGAATAGGTCGTTTTGACATCATTTGCGTTCTGTGAACAGCAGTGACTTTATTATGCCTCTGCCTGGCTGAAAAACACCAGCTCCTGCTCACTCCACAAGGGCACGGACGCAGAGCACTGCCTGCCAAGGTGCCGGGATTCCAGTGAAAAGTCTCAGCAGGGACACCATTTGCTGGATGAGTTTAAGATTAAAATCTCTTCATAAAATGTGATAAATAGGTTACCATACACGTGGCTCAATACCGTGAAAGCATCAGCAATCAAGACACTGCTGCAGGCTGGGCGTGGCGGCTCAGGGAGGCCGAGGTGGGCAGATCACCAGCCTGGCCAACATGGTGAAACCCCATCTCTACTAAAGATACAAAAAATTAGCCGGGCATGGTGGCGCATACCTATAATCCCAGCTACTTAGGAGGCTGAGGTGGCAGAATCACTGGAAATCAGGAGGTGGAGGTTGCCGTGAGCCAAGATGGCACCACTGCATGCCAGCCTGGGAGCCAGAGCGAGACTCTGTCCCAAAACAAATGAACCACAGCTCTGAGAGTCCCACAATACATGAGGAGCATAAGTCACACACAATTCTCATGAGCAGCCGAGGTTTTTCTATATACATTTCAAAGGTGCTTTTGATAAATAATAAACTGAATTTAATAGCACATTTAAAACAAAAGCAAACCCACACAATTCTGTATGTCTGTCGGCAAAACTGCTCAATCGGTGCATAAATTCTACCTGGGCATACAACAGTAACGTGCCTTGGGACCTGTCGTCAGTGCTCACTGCCAGGGACTGTGGCAGGACCATTCAAGGGACCCCGGGGCCCTGCAGCTGAGCATCTGAGGGGTCCAGGTCCACCCTGCAGCTCGGGGAAAATGACATCACTACTTTCCTCAAAAGCCAGCGAGAAACACCAACCACAAAATTAGGGTGTGGGTTGGGTGCCTGCAGGTAACTCCGTCAACGAAAAACAACTCTAAAGCCCAGCCAACCTGATTACTAAATATTTGCCTCATTTTGTCAAATAACCAATGTAGCATGAACAGTAAATTCTCATTTTAAAACAGGTTCCATGATTAAAAAAAAAAAAAAAACTTGCAAGATTTCATCTCAACCACCCCACACGCTGGTTGGTGGCAGGTAAACACCAAGGCATCTCTGCTGCTACGGGAGTCACTACCCCTCAACGATGTCTTTGTACCACTTGCCACCAGATGGCACTGCCAGACACCTAGGTTTATAATTATTTTTTTTTTTTTTTTTTTTTGTGAGAGAGTCTTGCTCTGCTCCCAGGCTCAAGTGCAAATGGCTCAATCTCAGCTCACTGCAATCTCTGCCTCCTGGGTTCAAGCGATTCTCTTGCCTCAGCCTCCTGAGTAGCTGGGATTATAGGCACGCACCACCACGCCCAGCTAATTTTTGTATTTTTAGTAGAGACGGGGTTTAATCATGTTGGTCAGGCTGGCCTCAAGTGATCCACTTGCCTCAGCCTCTGAAAGTGCTGGGATTGGTTTGGGTGTGAACCAGTGTGCCCGGCCTAGAACATCACACCATGGGAAACTTTAACAAGGAACAAGTCATATTATTTTCTATTTTAGCCCAATTCTCTCCAGCTGAAAAGAATGTGACTTCTGATTAAGACACATGGCATGTGAGTGTGTGGCTGGAAAATCAACGCTGATCCACCCCGGCAGCGGGAGGCACTTCACTATGAAGCCATTTCCAGCATTCGAACAAGGCCACCCGCTCCTCGGCAGGTGTGATGCTTGGATGCCACGGACTCCTCTCCTAAGTGCCTGACATGGTCCAGAGGCTCAACTTACAGAGCCAGTCAGGACAGTCGCAAAATTATAATTTCTTAAAAAGGCTTTGTAGCTACTTCAAAATTAATGCTAATGAGAAATAAAGTTAGTATTTCCCTTAGAACTAAACACAAAACATTCACTGCCTCATTAAATCAAAAGCCACTATTCATGGAACTTCCCAGAATCCACGTGCCGACCCACTGGGGCCCGGGAGCCCCGGCGGGAGCAGCTACGGCCTCTTCTTCCGCAGCAGCTGCCCGTTGCCTTCCGGCCTGCTCTTGGCTTCTGGCTGTGCAAAGTTCCAGTCCACCGGATTGAGAAGCTGCTGAGTCTTCTTCTGGGTCCAGTACGGATTAATGATTAGTGTAAGCAGAGCCAGTCCAACAAGGTAGAGTGCCAGATGAGGCAGGTACAGGCTGCTGACCAGGCCGTCCCAGTGCCAGAAACACACCCACCACATGTGGTAGGTCAGGACCATGCGGCAGTGAAACATGTGAATCATCAGCCACTGGTTGAGCTTCCAAAACAGAGAATCGGACCAGCCCGCCTGCACAGAGACAAAACAAATGCACAGGTCAACACGAAACTGCCGAAATGCATCCTTCACATCACAAAGAGGCATTTGCTGCCTTACTTACCAAGCAAAACAAATTCATTTCAAAGCAACAGAATTTCCTCACCAGAGCTCTGCTCTTGCTGGGCCTCTGTCCTGGAAGGAGGCCACCGGCCCCAGGCGCGCACAGGCCAGCAGGGCTGACCCTCGCTTGCTCGTGCTGTTCTCCTATTCCTCTGGCTCTTTGACTCCTGCTCCTTAAAGCTATGATAAATTCAACCTTTCTTTCGGTTTCTCTTCAGTCTATCTTGAATTTGCATATATTTAATAAATAAGCAGTGCTTATTTAGCAAAAGCAGACACAGGTACACCAAGCTTCTGTACCTAGACCCTGGGAGAAAAATCTCTTAGAAGAGGTAAGTTTAGGATGAAGAATGTTTCCTGGTTTGTTTAGCCCTTTAACAAAGGCCTAAATGGGCTTGCCTTAAAATGTGCTAAATTTGCAGTAAAACTAGTTTCCAGCAGTCCCAGCTAAAACAAAGAAGGGAACTTGAGGATGGTACGCGTCAGACCACGGATACGTGGGGGGACCAGGTAGGGAGGCCTCGTCAGCACCGGGACAGTCCGGAACATGCCAGAAAGAAACTCATGCCCAGAAGACGAGGGGCGCTGGGATGCAGGGACCACTCTGACAGCAGAGCAGGAAAGAGGTGGGCTGCCGTATCCAGGCAGAGACCACCTGGTGTTCTCAGGAAAGGGGCTGACTTTACTAGAGCTACATCTGTGGCACTTTGAAGAGGACCCGGCATTACCAACTTCTAAGGGTCACTGAATCAAAAGGAAGTTTACTCTCAAGTTACAAAGGCATGTTCACACAGCACACACACGCACACACGCGCACACACGCACACACAAACCAACAGAATCAATGACTAAGAGGTTATCTTACAAATGTGTCGGAAAGAAAAACAAAGAGTTTGTTTGAAATACTGAATTTGTCTGAAAACAACTTCATAAAAAAATTTGAATTGTCTCCCACTGTTAGATCAGACATACCCATACCCTTTTCTTTTACCAGCATGATGACCTTATCTGTAGGTAATACTTGTTACTCACTGGATGTGTGTCTCAAAATTCATACGATGAAACCCTAACTCCCAGTGTGATGGTACCCAGAGGTGGGGCCTTTGGGAAGTGATGAGGGTGGGATGAGGTCATGAGGGTAGGGCCCCAGCATAGGATCAGTGCCATAAGAAGAGGAAGAGACCAGAGCCTTCCTTCCCCTCCTCCATGTGAGGACTTGCCGTCTCCAGAACTGGAGAAAGGAATGCCTGGGCTATGGCAGTTTGCTGTGGCAGCCTGAGCTAAGACAGTACAGCTCCTCCCCAGCACAATATTCTAACTTGGGCCAGGTACGGTGGTTTACGCCTATAATCCCAGCAGTTTGGCAGGCCGAAGCAGGTAGTTCACTTGAGGTCAGAAGTTTGAGACCAGCCTGGTCAACACAGCAAAACCCCATTTCTAATAAAAATACAAAAAAAATTACCCAGGCGTGGTGGCACACCATGTAATCCCAGCTGTCTGGGAGGCTGAGTAATGAGAATCATTTGATAGCAGGAGGCAGAGACTGCAGTGAGCTGAGATTGCACCACTACACTCTAGGCTGGAGAAAGAGCGAGACTCTGGCAAAAAAAAAAAAAAAAAAAAATTCTAACATATTTTTCTGGTATTTTAAATATTGAAAGCTCAGGTATATTAGCTCCTATAGACAGTCTGCTACTCACAATGGTTTGACTTACACTTGTCTGGCTTTAGGAAGGTGCAGAAGTGGTACACATTCAGTAGAAACCATACTTCAGCACCCACATAACCACGGTTCCAACTTTCCCTACCGCATTCACAGAATTACGTGACATGTTCCACATTTTGTTGTAAAATAGGCTTGTGCTGTATGACTTTACCCAACCTTAGGCTGATGCAAGTCTTCTGTTTAAGGCAGGCCAGGCTTCACCATGGTGTTCAGGAGGCTGCTTGTATTAAACACATTTCTGATATAATATTTTTAATTTATGATGGGCTTATTGGGCTGTAACCCCATCCTGAGTCAAAGAGCATCGAAGTCTGGACAGAAAAAATCAATGTGAGAAAAATTAGACAAGAAAGGCCAGTGGAACAGAGTAGCGCAGTGTGGCTTCCATGACTGTCACGGGAGTCTTTCCCAGGTCTCAGAGGGGACCTCAGTGCTCCCACGTGTGCATCACGGCTCCCTCATGCACACACACGAATTCAGAGACTGCCGGCACGGCTTTCACAAACATGCCAAGCGCTTAGTTCACCCCAACTCCAGGTGCAAAGGAAACACCCCCACCTGTGACTGGGGCCACCTCCAGGTAGGTCAGGACCTCACACTTCCCGCACGCTCAGCCTTGCTGAGGCACAATGACGACTCAGGAAGAAGAACAGAGGAAGCACGAATCCCAAACAAGCCTGGAGCCTCCAAACTGAAGGGGACAGGGGAGAAACTCACGCAGACCAGAAGAACCCATGGTTGCCAGTTCTGGATGGTTAAGTGACATGGATTGAAATGAAATGTGAAGAGTTAAAGCTATTATTTCTTACTTGTGAAAGTATGGAGTTACGCTACAAGTTCTTGAAGTTGTTGGTATGTCTAAAACAAGTCACAAATGTCGCTGGTTCTCAGCTCCTGGGGTGACTGCAGATCCCGGTTCGCCTGGGGCAGGCCCTGACATCCTTGACCGGGTGATAAACAGTGTGGTCACTCTGATAACTGGCCACAGCCACCAGTTCCAAAAGTGGTGAAGGACAATGCTGGACTTTGGCGCAGGCAAGTTTTCAATCTCACACCTCCTGCAGACCCACAGTGGCTGCACCAGGTGGGCCCACACAGCAGTACCAGAGCTCAGTGCCTTTGTTTCGGCCAACAACGCACAGTGTATAGATGGTGGTCTCACGTGAGCTTATAACGGAGCTGAACAATTCCTGTCATTTACTATTTTACTATACTATGCTTTTTATCATTGTTTGAGAGTGTACTCCTCCTCTGATGAAAACAAAGTTCACTGTAAGCAGCCCCACGCAGGTGTTTCAGGAGGGTCCAGAAGAAGGCGCGGTCATCACAGGAGGTGGTACCCCATGTCTGTTGCTGCCCCTGAAGTCTCTCCAGCGGGACAAGATGCGGAGTGAAAGACAGGGATGTGGATGATCCTGACCCTGTGCAGGGCTAGGCGAACGTGTTTTAAAAATTAAGAAAAGCTTATGGAATAAAGGGATAAAGAAAATATATATATGATATATTTGTATTTTAAGCTAAGTGTTATTACAAGAAAAGTTTTAAAAAATTAAAATTTAGGCCGGGCGCGGCGGCTCACGCCTGTAATCCCAGCACTTTCGGAGGCCAAGGCGGGTGGATCACGAGGTCAAGAGATCGAGACCATCCTGGTCAACAAGGTGAAACCCCACCTCTACTAAAAATACAAAAATTAGCTGGGCATGGTGGTGCACGCCTGTAGTCCCAGCTACTCGGGAGGCTGAGGCAGGAGAATTGCCTGAACCCAGGAGGCGGAGGTTGCGGTGAGTGCAAAGATCGCGCCATTGCACTCCAGCCTGGGTAACAAGAGCGAAACTCCGTCTCAAAAAAAAAAAAAATTAAAATTTATAAAATAAAAAATTACAGTAAGTTAAGGTTAATTTATGATTAAAGAAAGAAATGTTTAAAATAAATTCACCTGTAATCCCAACACTTTGGAAGCTGAGGTGGGCAGATCACGAGGTCAAGAGATCGAGACCATCCTGGCCAACATGGTGAAACCCCACCTCTACTAAAAATACAAAAATTAGCCGGGCGTGGTGGCACAAGCCTGTGGTCCCAGCTACTCGGGAGGCTGAGGCAGAAGAATTGCTTGAACCCAGGAGGCGGAGGTTGCAGTGAGCCGAGATTGTGCCACTGCACTCCAGCCTGGCGACAGAGCAAGACTGTCTCAAAAAAAAAAAAATTAATAAATTCAGCATAGCTTAAGTACACAGCGTCCATAAAGGATACAGGAGTGTACGGTGATGCTCTAGGCTCTCACACTCACCACTCATTCTGCCTGGCCCAGAGCAGCTTCCACTCCTGCAAGCTCCATTCCAAGTTAACGGCCTGCACACGTGCACCATTTTTCACGTTGAACACGGCATTTTTACTCTACCTTCCTATGTTTCGCTGTTTAGATAAACAAATATTTACGACTGTGTTACACTTGCCTACAGTGTTCAGTAGGGCTGTGTGCTGCACAGGTGTGCAGCCTGGGAGCAATGGGCCCTGGGGCACAGAGCCCAGGCATGGAGTAGCTTCGGCACGCGGAATGGCACTCTAGGATGCTTGCTCCATGACGGAACAGCCTAAGGACACGTTTCTCAACATACCCCATAGTTAAGGACTGTACAGGGAAAAGAATCACACGCCATGTCCTCTTTTGGGTCTGGCTAATGTCTCTCACTATGGCCGTGTAAACCATCCTGATTGCTCCCCACCCCTCTTCTGTGTGGACAAACCCGGCTCAGGATTCAGTATGAGGCCAGATGAACAGTGTGGCTAAGACGATCCCGGTACCTGTTTGAGTGCTGGGGCACAGACCTATGCGTGGAGCTGCAAGGACACCGGAAGTCTCGCACACTGTTCCCCTCGCTAGTTATCAAACTGAAGACACTCGAGCATTTACCAAGTTAACAAATGGCTGCGAAAAACCAAAGGCAAGACGATGCTCCTTCTGCCACATGGTGGACTGCAGCATAGCTACACAAATGTGTGCCCCTCCCAGAGTCCATATTCTAGAACCTTCTGTCATCACATGTATGTGTGTGCACTGGAGCAGGGCCACACATAAATCTGCCCCTCCCAGATTTCACCTTCCAGAACCTTCTGTCATCACATGTATGTATACTGGAGCAGGGCTACATGCATATCCAATCCCCACAGATTTCACTTTCCAGAA